AAAAAAAAAATAATAATAATAATTTTCAGGCGAACCGAAGCAACGCAACGAGGTGAATTCAGTGTCACAAATGAACTGAAATATGCTTGCAGACCACAAGGTGAACAGACAGGGAAACACGAAACAGAACTTCCCCTGGCCAGCAGGCCCACCCCCTCAGCCAAGAGTTTGAACCTGCGAGGGGGGGGCGAGAGCCACTGTTCACACGTCACCAACCAGCAGCCACAAGGGGGTGGGGCAGGGACTTTTCCAGAGGATCACTGCAGACACACACACCGTGTGACCCCAACGAGCTGGCCAGAGACAACACATCTGGCAACCTAAATACTCTCAGACCCAGAGTCTGAACATGGACTGATCGCTGCCCCAGACACCAAGCAGGGCCGGCGTGCAACTCCCCATGCTTACTACCACAGACTTTGACAAACTTACTCCAAGCTCACGATTACCCTGGGATGGCGGAGGACACCAGCTGCAAGAAGTCATCTAGGCATTAGGGCCTGCCGCACAATGCCTAATCAACAGCTGTGTAACCTGACACAGAAGGCCTTTAACAAGCAGCAAGGCCTCCACTAAAGGTGTTTGTCAAACCCCACTGATTCTGAACTTCACAACTCAGAATCCAAAGCGGGCACCAGAAGGCACCCAGCATTGCCACAATGCAAAACCCTTCTACAGAAAGCCCCTAGCCAGAAGAGGACAGAGCCATCACCATGGCAACAGACCCAGGTTCCAGACCAACCACTGGGAAAAGGCGTCCTCATCCTGCAAACACCACGGTATGTCCGACAGCAGTCCACCACAACATCCTCCTCCACACGGGTGCTGAACGGAGGCTACACAAGGACAGCTGGACATGCCTACCTCTGGGTTACAGGAGCTGCTGACACTCGCAAAAGAGCTCCTTGAACAAAACTCAACTAAGGAGTATTGAGAAGGACAAACCTCTGACTCCTTGCCTGCTGCAACACAGCATCAGGCCCCTCCAAGGGAGGAGCATCCCTTGAAACCGGTCGACACCCCTAGAAGCAGCCAGACAACGTTGGATTGAGCAGCGGGCCCACCTGCCCAACAGCGAAAGCTCTACCAACACAACTCAGGCAAGCTCAAGTCGGTGCCGCCACAAGAGCCAAGCGACACCGCAAACATCAGATTTCTAGTGACGTTCGGGCAGAACAGAGAGCTAACAACCACCTGCTGCTCTCCTGCCATCATCACTAGGTCAGTCTGAAACTCTCTGCACACTACAAAATCTCCATAACAATTACCTGCAATCCCTGGAACCACCTGCACTCTCACCAGTGAGAGTCTAACCCGGCTGTTCCACATCGTGGGTACCACGGATAGCCTACTGGCTAACAACATCGACAAACAACCATCTTACCCAGACTAACTCAACAGGTGACACAGCCTCGACACCTGCTGCACAAGCTCGAGGACCCTCACCTTGCTACAGCCTACATCACCACAGCACACCACCTAACAGCATCCACCATGGCTCCACAACCACTCCTGGAGGCAACAATAGCCAGAGAAGCCACCACTGTCTCCCAGCCGTGAGTGGCAGGGGCGTGTCTGGATTGTTCAGCACTTTTGACGTCGCTCGCTGTTGTCTATTGGCTGGACAACAACGTTCGAAAGGGGGGAATTATGTAGCATTTGGACCAATCAGACACACAACTTTTTGTTATATTTAACAAATAATATCGCACTCCCCATCACCTAACCAAATGGCCAATTACGAGGGTCTATGGACCCTTCCCCCGAAATGCACCTAACACCTCAGAAAGGCAGAACAGGCCTCTGGTTCCATGGTAACCAATGCTGATATCACTGGTTTTATGGCCTAAAAGGAATGCAGGGGATAAACTCCCTCATTTTCCTCATAAGAAAGGCACAAATGCACAGGAGAAACTGACTTTTCTACTAATTAATTCATAGGAAAACCTTCTTTGAATGAACACCCATTTTCTTCAGGCCATTGTGTATATTATTGCTGTGTTGTATTTAATCTGTTGTATTATAGACTATTTTTATTCATGCTTACGATAAACCACTCATTCATATAAGTAACTCTACCATGTCTAGTATCTATGAATTCGTCTTCGGATGATCTAACTGAGAGTGCATATTACATGCTGATACCTCTGCAACATATGGATGTTCTAAGAATCATTACTAATTTCTGCATCAACACTCAAGTGAATTACATATGCAAAATACCATGCTTAGAGACAAAGGGCCATAAAAACGCAGAACTCCCACTTGAGATTCCGGACTTCCCCATTGGGCAAGCCCATCTTGAGAGGCGTGAATCTCTGCAGGCTTTAAAAGGCCACACTCCATGTGACCCGCCCTGTTCGGTGGTTCAGTGAGATGCTAAGATGAAGATGTGAGAAACGCTCCAGGATACCAAAGCTCGTGCCAGGCTCCGGCCTAGTCCTTTTCATTCATCAAGTGATTCTGACTCAAACTAGCTCTTTTTCATCAACCAACTTCAGCAAGATCTTGGGGCCTTAAGATTGCATCAGGAATCTTTTTCAGACATACGCAAGTATCAAACTTAGTCGATTTAATTGATGCATTAAGTATCAGTTACACCTTTCTACAAGGTGTGTTTGAACTCAGAATCTGACGTATCCCTGAAGGCTTTGATCTGTTGAATATACATGCAAAGTGTTCCATAAAATCCATTCTTTATGCCTCTTTCTATGCTGAGTTAAACTTTAACCCTTTCCTATAAACTGTATGTGTGTGTGTGTGTGTGTGTATGTGTATGTTAGACCGGCTTAATGTGTTTATGTAGTATGTTAGACTAGTTTAAGTGTTTATGTAGTTAATAAAACCTTACTTACCGGAGTCAATAATCATGCAGATTTACGTTACAAACTTATAGAATTGTACAGTAAGAAAGTTATTTCCTTTAACCAGGATATTAACGTTCTTAGAATTGACAAGACGGTTGACCCTGAGTGGTCAGCTAAATATCTACAGTGGATCTAAACTATGAATAGTTAATTATTCATATTTCCCCATAAATTGATTTGTTACACCGGTATACCGCCCAGCACTATCTTTACAGTTATCTTTCTTGGTGTGAATGGGCCTTAACAGTAGCAAAAAATGAGTAACAAAAACTCACATTGTTTGATGATGGTCAAAATGTGTGTAACTGCAGCCCATTGTGTGATACTATCGATGACCTCTGACTCAATGGAGGAGCTTATTTCAGACAGAAAAAACCTAGAATATACCAGAAAATGAATCAGAAGTGTTCAATAGTATAAACAAAGGCTTTTAGTTCTAGCTGTTGTTTAATGTTACCTGGTAACAGCAGGTGATTTGAGCGTCACTTTGAGTATGGTGTTCGAGAGAGGTGGAAGGTCATTAACCGTCTCTGGAGTCAACACCTCTTCCACATGAGAGATCTGCATGAAGAAACATCAAATTGTTGCTTTCTACAGTACATTTATTCTTCCATGCCTCAGTGTCTCAATTTGTTTCTTTTATCCATTAACTTATTTTTATACATGGCTTTAGCCAACTTTCCCACACTGCTTATGGTTTAATTTTGTCTCAAGAACAAAATATTTCTTATTTATATCACTCATTCAAAAAAGACATCCGAGTAAAAATAAATGCTTTGAGCTCAACAAACGTTTCAATTAAACAGACAAAGGAGCAATGCCACACAAACATCACAAAACATTAAAAAAAAAACTCAAATTAGCGGATTTACCTTCTGCAAAGTGCGGCTGATATCAATAATAACTGCTGCACAGAGTGATGAGAAGACTCCTGTGATGAACTCTGACCTCTCAGTTGTAAACTTAGTCACCAGCAAGAAGTCATAAAGAGCTTCTTCAGAAGAGCAACACAGCTAAAGATACATAAAGAAAGGCTTTTTTAAAAGAAAGAGTCCAAAAGAAATGCTGTCAGGTAGAAATTTCAGTCAAATTTTTACAATACTAAATTTGAGTTTAAATATGTACATGTGCACACAGGTTTGTTAAACACATTCAGAATCATCCAGAAATGGAATGGAAGTGTATTTAAAGAAGGCCCTAATGTCTCTTTTCAAAGGCCTCACCTCCTGAGCCTCTTCCTTGTCTTTACGTAGTCTATGCGCTATGATCTCCACAACTTTCTGGAAGATGTTGGTCAAAATGCGGATAGTGAGGGATGATTGATCTTCCTGTGTTTCAGCCTTATGGGAAAGGCAGCCCTGTGCCACCTCAGTAAGCAGAGCGAGCACATGAGGAGTGCACATGTATCCTTTCTCTAAATGAACCTACATACACACACAATTATATTAAAAGCACTACTCTATACAACGCTGTGACATCAAAACCCAGAAGACTAATTCGCCTAGGGTCCCTTGAGATTTTCCTATGGGTTTATATAATGGGGTTTTTCAATTTATGAATAAAACAAAGTCTGTGGTAAATATAAATTGACAATGCTTGAACGTTTTGCTCTACAATGTAGCCTTATGGGAAAGGCAGCCCTGTGCCACCTCAGTAAGCAGAGCGAGCACATGAGGAGTGCACATGTATCCTTTCTCTAAATGAACCCACATACACACACACAATTATATTAAAAGCACTACTCTATACAACGCTGTGACATCAAAACCCAGAAGACTAATTCGCCTAGGGTCCCTTGAGATTTTCCTATGGGTTTATATAATGGGGTTTTTCAATTTATGAATAAAACAAAGTCTGTGGTAAATATAAATTGACAATGCTTGAACGTTTTGCTCTACAATGTAAATTACACATAGCCACAGTAAAAGTGCAAATTTTAAAGCAGTTATGTTAATTTTAGTGCTGGGCAACGATAATTTTTTTTAAATCGCGATTAATCACATGATTTTTCTGCAATTAATCGTGATTAATCACATTGTTATGCACAAAATTCAATAATGAATTCAAAAATAGTGTATTCCTCACTTTTATTTAAAAAGTACTGCTGTATGACCAAAAGTGCAATAACATTTGTTTGGAAACACATTAAACAAGGTGCTTTTTTACAGCAGTATTCCCTTTACATAGTAGCAGTTAAAATATTTTTAAACATTAATGTACTCAAATTAAAATCGCCTTTTCATACAACTTGTGTATTCTTTTTGTGATGGAGCGTCTTGAGGGAGGCTCATATGTGCCATCATTCGTTGCGATCCTAAGAACGTTCGCCTGCCATGGACGCCACGCCCAAACTCCAGATCGTATTTCACATCACTATATCCTTGCCAGGATGCCAGAAATGGTATGTGAAATATAGATACAAGATAATTGAGGATGTGTTTTAGACGACTATACACACACAGTTACAAATCTTTTATCCTTGTCGTTCATAACTGGACTTTTCAGTGTATTAACTTTGTAGTCTACAGCACAACAAAGTAGGACATAGCAATAAATACAACTATAAACAGAATTAAACCGGACAGAACATAAACATTTAGCCAACTTAGCCATGTTAGAACACCAATAATCAAGACAAACAACGTCGGACAGGCAAATCACGTCGTCCCGCGAATCCTGTCACTTCGCTTCTGAAATGATCCCGGTGAGTTGGCACCGCATGGAGGATGGAACAAAACCTCGTCGGAGCTGTAACGCGCCGCAGATGCGTGCAGTGTAAATAAGGGGTTGCACCATGTCTACACTGGACGCGACAAAGCGGCCGTCGCAAATCATTTGAATTTTGTGTCAGTACATCATAGATAGAACAAGGCAGCAGTTTACTGTCGGGGATTTGTCGTGTCGCGCCGCATCCAGTATAGACAGCATCACCGCTCGTGTCCGGTGTAGACATGGTGTTAGGCCCAAATGCTCTCATTGGTTGAGACGCATGATGACACCCATCCCAAACCAGTATTGATCAACATCCCACCACTCCTGTGATGACCCATGGTTTGTCTGTATGTGTATTCAGAGCCAGTGAGCAACAGACTTTCAAAATAATATTAATAAAAACAATTGTTGGCATTAATTAATTAATGCGTTAATGCGAACTTGCCCAGCCCTAATTGTTAAAAATAAATAAATAAATAAATAAAAAGTTTTATAATGTTTATAATGGGTAACTACACAAGAACATCTGGGTGTGAGTGTGTGCAGTTCAAGTTATGCTTAGTTACCAAAAAAAAAAAAAAAAACAATTGTTGGCATTAATTAATTAATGCGTTAATGCGAACTTGCCCAGCCCTAATTGTTAAAAATAAATAAATAAATAAATAAAAAGTTTTATAATGTTTATAATGGGTAACTACACAAGAACATCTGGGTGTGAGTGTGTGCAGTTCAAGTTATGCTTAGTTACCACAGACCTTATTTTACACAAGAATTGAAAAACCCATAAGAAAAATCCCAGGCAAACCCATGGAGAGTCCTCTGGGTTTTGGCATCACAGCAGCAACACTCTTTTGTAAACCTTTGTGGGAAGGTGGTCAAACATTGTATTTTGACAAAACACAACTCATACAATCACTGGGCCCTAGCTCAGTATAAATACTTAATCCTCACCTGTCTGCAGTACAGAGGCAACATGCTGCAGTAAATGGTCTCTGAAATCACTGTCTCCTACAGAAACCCGCAGCACATTCTTGCACACTGTTAAACAACTCTGACAATGATACAGAAAGGGAAAGAAATTATATACATACAACACAAAATCTTGTGTGTCTGCACAACTCATTGTGAAATTTGATTAGTTTTAGGCCTCATTAGGCCTCATGTGTTGTCTATCATTTTCAACTGAAAACACTCTTTTTAATATATAATGTTGAATAAAGCTTCAAATGTTTTGCGTGAACACTTAAAGTTGGCAAGATTTTTTTTAATTGATTTAAGTCTTTTATGCTCCCTAAGGCTGCATTTATTTGATCAAAAATAAAATAAAAAAGGTAATATTGTGAAATATTATGACAATTCAAATGGACAAATTGCCAACCATTTGAAAAAACACGTTCACACTGATCATTCCACTCACTTCTATGGTCTTCCTGCTTAAGGACAACTGTTGCTCACTGCTGGAGCTGGCCAGAAAAGGAAGGACTCTTTTCTCTACCCAGGACACCGAATGCTCCAGGGATTTGAGGAACTCCCGCTCCTCTGGGAACTGTAGGATCAGAAAGAGGTGCTGATTATGAGTTTTATTTGTTCAATCTGAAAGTGAGCTTACAGACCATTCAAGCAACTACTGCTTGATCTGCAGTTAACAAAATCCAAGTCATGTCCAATGAAAACCATTTGCACAGTTCAGCACAGGACAGATGGAAGACGTCAATACTGTATTATAAGCTTGAGATTCTGAGACCTACTTTAACTGCTGAAATGAATTGTCATGTCACTTCAGTGCTTGAGAATGTACAGGTTAAGTACTAACAGACAATTTATTTTCTTTAAAACTCTCTTCACATCTTAACATTGCTTGAATGAGTGTGTTCAGAGAATGTTGGCTTTGTTTGGAGTGTGAAGGACTCAAAGAATGAATGCAGTGTGGTTACTGCAGTACACTCACTTTGTGTTGAAGATGGATACTGAGTCGGCCATGGAAGATAAAAGCTCTCAGCGCTGTCTCAATGAATTCCACTCTGACCTCTTCTCCGCTCAGGGAGGAAAACAACAGTGACTGCACACATAAACAAAAGCGAAATGACAATAGTTCCAAAAAGATAGTACAGTTCAGAGCTAAGCATAAAAATAACTTTAAAACTTTTCAACTAGAAAACATATCCACTTTTCCAGATCATAAACAGGGCTTGAATTTCAGCGCAGGATTGCGCATAATTCTACTGATTCCCACAGTTTCTGCAAATATTTCAGTGTGAAAGACGCTCAGGACAGGTGACAGAATGTATCATTTGCACATGTTTTTGTCTCTTACAATTTTAAACATTCACATGCTCAATTCAGTACTTGCATGCTCTCTGTGAGACCCCTTTCTGTAAGCTCACACCCAAAGCGCGCATACACAGAGCCGCATCTGAGAGCGCACAACTACAGAATGAAGTTGTGTTGCACCTTATTGCGTGTAAACGGCCAAATACATACAAAATTATGTCAAAATGCCCATCTTGATGAGTATTCACGTAAACAGTCGATTTATACTAAACATTGTCGGTATATAGGCTATTAAGTTAAAGTAAACAGTTGAGAAACAAAACTTGTGTAACAGATTCGTGCATGAAGTCTTAAAGAGACAGCAACCTAAATAAACCTGCTGCTGTCTGTCATTAATATTTATTTATACATTGAAGACTAACCAGTGTTATTTTAATGTTAAACAGATTATTCCGTTTCTGTGGTATTGCTGTACCTGAATATTACTTTTATACCTACCTGAAAAACTTAAAGTACAGTTCATTTTAGTTGCTTGTCATTTATCTATTCTTATTTTATTACTGACTGTTTAATCGTCTTTTTTAGTTAAAATAAATTCAATTCAGAGTTTGAAATCAAAGTTCTTTTTAAGTATCTTCCTCACAATATAAATATGAATCAACAACATTATAAATTGTAAAGCATAAGTACACTGGGTGACGAAACATTTAGGTTGGATGATTGTATTTTAAAAATATGTCTAAAAAAAATAAATACACTAACTCCCCCCTCAAATTAAAACCCCCAAGAGAGTCACCTAAAGGGGGAATTCCCCCCCCAATCCCCCCCCCCCCCATTTTCCAAAATGAAATTCAGGCCCTGATAAAGGCAGAAAAAAATGTAACAATAACTGAAGACCTCAGTAAATACAACTTCCTTTGAACAAAACAATTCTATAAGCTCATCACAGCTTTGACTAATATAATAAGGCCAAAAACATCATGTCATTTAGCTGAACAGCTTTGTGCAGCAGTATCTTCAAAGCAAGACTTGTGAAAACATGCAATTACCATGCTGATTTTGTAACTAATGACAGTAATATCACAAAAAGAGTACATTTGCACCAATTCTTTGCAATAGCAATCATCAAACTTCTGTACCTTCCATTTGTTGAGGGCCCTATGGAGCGGTCTGATCTGATCCAGCGGCAGTGTGAACAGACAGTCTCGTGTTTTAGGGTGCAGGAGCAGATAATCCAGATAGTCTAGGCCCAGATCTGGTTTCGACTCTTCCAGCCCATCAAAATGCACTTTGCCAGTTGTATCTTCATCACCTTGCTGACAAGTGAGTGATCATAGAGTATATGAAAATACCATAAAAACCTAATGACCCCCCACATGGACACTTTATGTGACATTTACCGCTCTCATAGGTGCAGCCTCCACAAGCCAGTTCTCTATCAGCTCCACAATATGGCTGATCTGCCCCCAGCTACAGAGACAATCCACATACAGACTGTATGACATCACAGCGGTGCCCGCTTTCAAACTCCTCAAGTGAGACATCGCTTTACTCCTGCAGAGAGGAAAACAGTCATGCAATACACCCAGACTGCCCTACAGATCGCTCTAAAGCCTTGAAAACACACTCAATCCCACCAGCAATTAAGGACGCCTATTGGATCAAATGGGAATCAGAATTGGCATTTCGCTTTTGAGCCAACCTGCTGTTCTGGGGAGATGGCTGAGGCACCATGCGGATTGTGCTAAACACTCAGCAGGAAAGAAGATTTTGAAATGCTCTTTTCTTCATTGAGCTGTCCTTTGCAGGAATAGCTTCACGAAAAATTACAATTCAGATTCGTCTCATGTCAAGGGGGTGTTTTCATTTTTAGCTGCACCATTGGTTTAAAGGGGTCATATGATGCGATTTCAAGTTTTCCTTTCTCTTTGGAGTGTTACAAGCTGATTGTGCATAGATAAGATCCCTGAAGTTGCAAAGACTAAAGTCCGACTTAAAATGTCGGCAGATCGCTGTGCTGTTCAGACTACATGACTTACTGTTTGTCTTGATGTCGTTGTGGTGTTCAAATTACGCGACACTACATAAATGATCTGCAATAGGGGGTGACACTACACAAGCTGACAACAACTCTCCATCAACGATTCTATCCCGTCCCCAAACCACATTTTGTCACAAAAACACAAGTTGAACGGGAATGACACGAAACAACAAGTGAAACAGGAGTTGTTAATTTGAAAATGGATGTCGGGAAGAAATTAGTGCTGCAAGCTGTTTGCACGATGATCTGTTCTGAAAAATTTCGCTCCATTTCTTTTGTCCAAACTTTTCTTAAAAGGGGACATCGGATGCCCATTTTCCACAAGATGGTATGATTCTTTAGGGTCTTCATGAAATACCATGTGATCTGCAACACACTTTGGTTAAAATTCCTCAGTGGTCGTGTAAAACAACACCCCAGTTTACCTTGTCAAAAACAGCTCTGTTCGCAGTGACCCATTTCTGTACATGTCTCTTTAAATGCTAATGAGCTTTGCTCACCGCTCTCTTCCGTGGAAGAGGAAAGGCGATTTGCAAATAATCATAAACATATAAAGTGTGGGACTTACTTCTTCTGGAGGTGCAGCTGGATTACGAACAGTGGGTACTGATCCATCCTTGAGTTGTAACTTTTTAGCAAAACCTGCCTTGAATCGTCCCTTGCTCAGAAAGCAGTCTGGTGTAAAATGATTCGCGCAGACATTAACGAATTTAGGTAGATCGGGGGCGCATTCCCTTCAAAAACAAAAGTAATCCACTGCATCTTCAGCGGCTCAGATGTCTGGAGTAAATGAAGGCTGCTATGTTTATTCTTACATCCCACAACAGAACACCTCAATTGCTTAGGAGACATTCTTGTTACACCTTACACCTGCTGTGGCGTCGAAACAATGGTGGACTGTTTACAGCTCACTCACGGCGGGGCTATGCTAAAACGGCAGTGTCTGTCAACAGTCGTGGAAGGGTCCTGTGCAAAGTGACGTCACTTTGCCAAGAAACTGTGAACGGCTTGCTCTGAGAAAGTGCTTATGATTTGTGGGGATTTAAAAACAAGTACTGGGTAGGGGTGTGCGATTTTGAAAAGAAAAAAAAAATCTCTCAATATTTTTGGGATATTCTCGATAACGATAATTAGACAATATTTTGCCGAATGTGTTATTGTGCTGATATCTGACTACCAAGGACAGCTGCAGTTTTTGATATTCTTCATTCTGTGTGGTCAGTTCACATCAGTGAACAGAAATTAATCTTTTCAAATGTTTAAATAGATTTTTTCCTTTTATGGGCATTTTTACCTTTAATAAAGTCATTTTTTTCTAAAAGTGTGCATCATTTGAGTCAAATTGTTACATTTAATCAGTCAATTAGAATAAGACATTTAGGCTGTTACCAAACAAATGAAACCAGTATCAACAAAATGAATCTTTGCAGAAGTTGCATCTGAAGTGGCATTCAGATGTATTTACACACTATTTAATTCAGCTCAGAGGGACATAGAGTGCTTTAACTTGAAGTTACAAATGCATAATGTTTTGATATTTGAAACATAAAACATTGAATACTGATGTTTGAAATTATTTAAAAAATAAAGATACATTAAATGTAAAATTAAAACCGCCAGTAGGCGGCAGCAAGTCACTCTTAATAAGTGAGTCATTGCGGCTGAACCGAAGCATTTAAACGAAACCTTCCAATGTGGCTGAATTACAACAATTCTGCATAGATGAGTGGACCAAAATTCCTCCACAGCGCTGTAATAGACTCATTGCAAGTTATCGCAAACGCTTGATTGCAGTTGTTGCTGCTAAGGGTGGCCCAACCAGTTATTAGGTTTAGGGGGCAAACACGTTTTCACACAGGGCCATGTAGTTTTGGATTTTGTTTTCCCTTAATAATAAAAACTGCATGTTGTGTTCACTTGTGTTATCTTTTACTAATATTTAAATTTGTTTGATGATCTGAAACATTAAAGTGTGACAAACATGCAAAAAAATAAGAAATCAGGAAGGGGGCCAACACTTTTTCACACCACTGTATATCGCACATCCCTAGTACTGGGTGGATTTTTATTATTATAGGGTGGTTGTGTACACACACTGCCAACACATTTAAGTTCAAACACTGTGTAAAAGTGAATTTAGCATCCGATGTCCCCTTTAAAGCCGTGTTGCTGCTGCTGTTTTTCTTCCGCTGACCTCAACCTTGCTCTCTCACTGGCTGTAGCTCGTCGCGACACCTGATACCATGTGATCTTGAGTCGGCCGACCGGTCCAGATATTTAGCATGCTAGATATTTGTTTGGTGTTTATGAGGCAGTGACACATCAGCGAGCCTCTTTGATGCGTCATAGAGTAGTTCACACATAAAAGATTGCAGAGCGCTGATCACCCGCTGATTTCCCCCAGATCACATCCCGACTGTTGGAGCTTGTTAACTTGTAAATCGGCTTAAAATCCTGTAGTGAGAACTAGGCATAAGAGACATTAAACAAATCTTACTGACCCCAAACTTTAAACAGTAGTGTATACTAAGTCTTACCGTGCTGTTTTCTTTATTGCTAGATGCAAACTCATTATCTCCTGCACTTTGAATGCACACATTCAGGCACTTTCGGATCACCAGCATCAGCTTGACTACAAGGAGAAAGCACTGTGAGTTTACGTTGACATTTCTGAGAATGACACATATGTACTTCCAAATGTCAAAACTAAACCCTAGTAACTCAACACACAATATAAAACAGAATTGATATTTAAGAAAGCTTTTGAGGGCATCTAAAGCAATCTAACCTATATTAGCAGGAGCCGTGTAGAGATAAGCGTGCTGGTAAAACTTGCGAGCCGCCCCGGGGTTTGTCTGAATCAGAGTGACGCATCGTTCGCACCAGACAGTCTCTGATTGGTTGACTGGAAAGAATGAGTTGAACAGAAGACTGACAATTCGCTTGGAAACAGGAGGAGAGTCCATTTCCAATCGAGCCAGCAGGTGCTGCATGGAACAAACTTTCCAAAACTGTAGCATGACAAAGTGGGACAAAATAGGCAAAAATGAGTACACTAATATTTATTAAAAATTTGTAAAACATTTTAACAGCAAATTTGGTGAGAGAACAAATAAATTGTTAAATAATGTTAATCTGTTACATCTTGGAAGGGCTCAGAATGTAATTAAAAAAAATTTTTCCCCCATATACTTTCTAGAGCCGTCAACTCTCTACAGCTCTTGCAGTACTTTGATATCACACATATACAGTTGACTGATGATGAACATGATTCAGAGCAACAACTCACTGCGTGATGTAGCCTACAGAACGTAGTTATATGCCTCTAACATTCAAGAGATTGGGGCAAAAATGTCCCTGTATTTTTTGTCTCATATTTATATCATATGATATAGTTAAGCAATATCACACAAGGGCTGTTTTCAGCCCAAACAGCAAATGTGATATTGATTTTATACAACAGTTCAATAAATGAGAAATTAATATTGTTATATTTTAGACACAATACTGTCTGTTTTTGCTCAGTTTTGCAAACATAAATATGACCTATTAAAGGGGTCATGATGCGATTTCAAGTTTTCCTTTCTCTTTGGAGTGTTACAAGCTGATTGTGAAGAAAGAAGGCGTGGTTTCAGTAACCGCAGTTAGTGTTGAAGCAGCCATGTCAGGGAGACGCTGTGTGTTTCAGTGCGAAAGCAAAAGCACTTTACTTGGCCTTCCGAAAGTAGATGCATTTAGGAATCTTTAAGTTTAACTTACAACAGAACAGCAATGCATTTTATGGACAACCATGTCGTGAACCTAGGAGAGGAGGTAATTCTGACTTTGCTATGACAATCTGGCGCTTCTGAATCAGCTACTGTTTTGTTATTAGTTTAAGTATTTGCTATTGACTGTTGAAATGCGGAGTTTTGCGCAGACTGCGCTTGTCGGAAGGAGGGACTTTGTAGAAAACTAAGCGTTTGAGAGAGGCGGGGCATAGAGGACCTACAATAATGTACAGTATTTGAAAAATAATAATGTTTTTTGAACATTAAAGCATGTCAACATATTCTGTTACACCAAATACACAAAATAATGATCTTTAAAAAAGCATCATATGACCCCTTTAAAACCACAGCAGAACGGTTGTGCGTCTCCAAGCAAAACACAATTTCTGAATGAATCAGTGTTTTGAACTAATCGAGTGAATGAATGATTCAATGGCCCCTTCATAAGAGAGCCACATTTACTTCATAGAATGAATAAATTAATGACTCAATGACTTTCTTAATTAGAGTATAATTTAATAATAAAAAGTATTATTTCACATTTACATATTAATCAAATAAAATCAGAAAATAAAACAAAAAAAATCCATATAAATAAAAAACTAATTAAAAAGTATAGCTCACTCGAAAATAAAAAATGGGGGGGGGAGGGACTTTCTAAAGCTACTTTTTGTAATATCCATTTCATGCTTTTCTCATGGCTTTAAATAATCTTTTGTTAATTTGTTAAATTTTTTCCGGGGGTTGGGGGGCGGACACATACACAGGGTTATTTGGCAAAAAAAAAAGAACATTATTTGAAAATGATTTTCCTTGAAACTAACTAGTAACATATCTGCCCTTGCCATTAGCCCTTGACAGGCTCAGACTACAGATTATGGAGGGATATTTGAAACAGCAATACCAGGAAAGGTTACTCACTATAATGCAAACACATGTAACATTTAGGATGCTTTTGATATCAAGTTTTGTTGGTTAGATTTGTCCTTGACATGTCCAAGATGACCTACAATCTAAAAAAATTAAATTTCTGAAATTGTTTTGTTCAAAAGAAATAGTAAATTAAATACTAGGAAATGAATATAAAATAGTAAATATACAAAGACAGTTTACTACAGAAAACTACAGTTCAATTCAATTAACAACAAAATAAAATGCTCCAAGAACTGGTAACTTAAACAGGGTTCGTACAGATACTGCAAAATGAAATTGAAATGAATATAAAATAGGAAATATACAAAGACAGTTCAGAAATATACAGTTCAAATATACAGAAAACTACAGTTCAATTCAATTAACAACAAAATAAAATGCTCCAAGAACTGGTAACTTAAACAGGGTTCGTACAGATACTGCAAAATGAAATTCCAGGACTTTCAAGGACTTTTCAAGCACTACTCTTTTGGTTCTCAATGACTAAAATCAGATCTCACTTATCACTTATCAAAAAATATTGTTATTGTCTTTCAAATTCTAATATATAAACTAATATTTATACAAATAAATGGTACAAATAAAGTGCAGCACATGCAAAGAATGCAATGACTGTGGTAACTTTAACGTTTGAAAGGATACTATGGCAAATTTATCGCTTTCCTCATTTCAAACTGATTTTTTTTTTCATGAGTATATGATTGACCTGAAGAATGAAAGCTAGGCTATATAATACACTTGGACAATTATGAGCTTTATCATGCTCATAGACACTAGGGGTGTGACAATACACTTAGCTCATGAGATGAGACAAAATGCAGATACTTGGTTCAATAGAACAAGACAATGTTTTAATGACAAAATATTTGTCTTTTAATTACAAAAATTAGAACAATGCAGTTATATTTTGAAATGTTATAACCAATCTAGGGCTTAACTAACAATTATTTTGCGAATCAAGTAATCTACTGATTATTTTGACAAGTATGTTTTAGTAATACAAATAGAACCAAGTGAAAAACAGGCTTTAATATGACTATATTTATATATAAACTAACGATGAGGCAATAATTGGCTCAAATAAAGTATCAAAACAAAGCACACGGTTTTATTGAACAACTGTTAAATACATAATGTAATATGCCTATATTATCACAAATACCTGCAGAGGGCGCCAACGGCCTGATGATGTTTCATGTGATTCAACGCCATTTAAATACATTTAATTGCAATATTTGGCCACATGCAAAGTGAGAAACATTTATTTTGAAATCGCAATCTACAATAAATCGCATATTTAGAAATATGTTGATATATTCTGTGTTGGCATAGGTTTATAAATGACTTAAGTTACAAATTAAATGAGACAAGGCAGTTTTCCCAGATGAACGTTAAGCAACCCAAACTTGCCGCATATGCAGAGGAAGAGTTTAGCCCCTTTCACACATACAGTCTTCACTGGTAAATTGGCGTTAAGAGATCATGTGTGAACAGGACCTTTTCAAAACTACAGGTAAATTTGTTCTGCCAATCATATTGTTCTTATGGCGATGATGTGATTACTCTGAGCTGTTTACAAAGCTCTGTTAATTATAGAGAAAATAGCTTTTCTATATAAATATGGCTCTAGACGGAAATCTTTGACCATTGCGCCTCGCAGCTTTTTCAGAATGTGTCGCGTTCATCAGCTGCGACTCTGCAGTTGGATACTATTATGCGCGTCTCATGTTTATAGGACAAAAAATGTCTGATTGGCTAGTAATGTTAGTTTGGTTGAGAGTGAAAGCTGTGTTCCTCTCATACATTGGTAGGCGAACTCATCAACTCGAACGAGAAATCAACAAGTTTCTTTCTTTTTCTTTTTTTTTTTAAATATAGGAGGACTATCTTATTTTCCCGCAGCTAAACGCCACATGCCGGAGATTCGGCATGGTGCCAGAGAACTTTAAGCCCTGTAAATAGTCTTTTTGTTAATCTTGAGAGTGAAAGCTGTGTTCCTCTCATACATTGGTAGGCAAACTCATCAACTCGAACGAGAAATCAACAAGTTTCTTTCTTTTTTTTTTTTTTTAAATATAGGAGGACTATCTTATTTTCCCGCAGCTAAACGCCACATGCCGGAGATTCGGCATGGTGCCAGAGAACTTTAAGCCCTGTAAATAGTCTTTTTGTTAATCTTTTGGTAAATTCTTTTGTAATATATTTGGCCAGATTTGATGTGCGATTAATTTTAATGGATTGACAGCCCTATATATATACACTGTATATTAACCATTTATTTTTCATCATAATCATATACTTTTCTTACCTTGGCTGCCCGTACAGCCTTGATCTTGAGGAGCATGCTCACAAAGGCAACACGCACCTTTTCAGAGCTGTCATGGAGGCTACTCTTCAGAGCAGGTAACAGTTTTTCCATGAGTGGATGACTTAAACTGTTATCCAGAATTATAGACATGCACTGTAGGGCAAACAAACATGCTATAATAAGGCTTATTCATTCAAAATATATAGCACAAAAGCACAAAAAGTTTAAATTAACTGTGAACATATTTAAAATGTATTTTCTCTTTCAGGTTCAAATGTCTTTGTAAGCAGTGCTAACCTCTGGACTTTTAATTAATGATTGGTACATTCCATTCACTCCAAGTAGCCTTTTAGTTTGAAGCTCTAAAATGACTAAATCAAGCTGAAATTACTCTGCAGAAGACTGTCCTTTTCTCGATCTGTTAACTGCTTTAAATTTGCATTCCACTGCAAAACTAGAAATATGTTGAGGAATTGCTCCCAATCTCTCTCCTATCACTTTGCTCAAGTGATTGATAGACAGTTGGGTTTTTACCATGAAGACGGAGCAGCGGACATCTGGAGAGGTTGTGTCATTAGCCAGCTGCAGGATGAGCTTCTCCAGGAGGTCAGTGATAATTGTGGATGGGATTACCTCCCAGCAACGAGCCAGGACAGAACATACACCCAGCACTGCCGAAGAGCGCACGAGGGGCTGTGGGTCATCAAGGAGAGCCTATAGACACAAAGGGTCAATTTGTCAGTTTCCCAAAGTAAAAATCCCAATCATTTTCTCCACAGGGGAACTCATTTTTAATGATAACTTATAAAGTGATGAAGACAGACCTACTGTGAGCTACGATGATGTTAACAGACTATCACACAGGTGACATTTCGAGCATGCAGGCTCTTCATCAGATCTCGCCTGCGTGCTTGAAACGTCACCGGTGTGATAGTCCATTATTAAATTTATGTATATTTGGAGCCTAGGTGTGCCAACTTTTTTCTGTTTTCATTATCAATATTTTTGTTTGAGAGTTTTTCTAGTGATGTGCATGCTTTTGTTTTGATTTTGTTTCTACAAGGTTGTTAATGGTAAATGTTTTTGCTAAAGCCACCAGCCTGCATTACTTCAACTTATTTTTTAAATATTCATGTCTAACAGCAGAATTCCTGGTGAAAAACTACATTACCCATGATTCTGCAAAGAAATAGTTTTTTTGCTTTTATTCAAAGCTTGTAATGTTGTGATTTACCTCGTAGCTGGTTGGTTTGGTTCATAGCTTATAAGCTTATAATTCTCAAAGACTTTTTTTAAAGAATGAAGAAATACTTCCAGAACCAAGGCCACTGAAAAAATGGATGCATACTGGTCCGCTCTATTTGCACACACTGAATGCCCTTTATTAATCCGGTTTATTTATTGTGCAAATATTACAAAATATCAATAATGCATAATCATGCAATATGGAATCAGCTGTTGACATACAAACAGTAAATCGGTTGTTTCTGAACAGCCTGGTCCACCATCTCACTGCTCATGCTGGGGTCATGGATGGGAAAAGCCTCAGTGAAGAGCAGTGTAGCATTGGCACGAACCTCAGCATTGGTGGCCTGTTGAAAAAATTATAAACATGTCTAAATGAACAAGGTGATATACTTCACTTAAGCATTAGCTATAGGCTTTAACTTAAAGATCAACATGTTTAAAGTATAAGCGCAATTAAAACAACACACTGTCAACTGATTTATCATCTACCTTTAATGCTTTCCACAGAATTGGCTTGTAGAGTCTGTGCAGCATCTCATCGACACCCTCACGAAACTTCTGCTTGTGGAAATAAGTAAGGATCTGAATGAAATACGGTCTCTGACCTGTCTGACTTTACTGTGTACAGGTGAGTTTCTGTGCAGCAACAGAGCGTGCTGTATTAGGTCCTGAATGCAGGTGGACTCAATCTCCTCCAGAAAAGAACCTGATGCCTTTCTCCATGCTCTGAAGTAAATTTCAGCCACATGAACAGACAGCATCCTGTAGGTACAGGATATCAAAAGAAATAGCAAATCATACAGCACAAATGCACAGTGTACTTAGTACAGAGACCACTCTAATATTGCTTGTTTGATTAATATGTGAAGGTTACTACAGAACTGTCTTGCTTGGCTTGTTTTAATAAGGACAAGTTTTGTGTGGAGAAGATGATATGCAGAGACAGGGACACATTTTCACTTACAGTGAAGAATTAAGTTTCAAAATTCAGATCACCAATTTAACTGTTCCATTTGCCTCTAAGTATCAAATGAGCCTCTTGATTATTATTTCTCTTATTTATTATTAATATTTCACACTATTACTGTTCTTATTATATTTTTTCAAGTAAATGTGGCCTTGGTGAGCATTAGAGGCTTCTTTTAAAATCATTACCGGCTCCAAACTTTTGAATGATAGTGTATGTTAACAAGTTCATATTTAATTATCCACTTAATTGCAATAAAGATGAAATACGTTCTCTGACCTGTCTGACTTTACTGTGTACAGGTGAGTTTCTGTGCAGCAACAGAGCGTGCTGCATTAGGTCCTGAATGCAGGTGGACTCAAATCTCCTCCAGAAAAGAACCTGATGCCTTTCTCCATGCTCTGAAGTAAATTTCAGCCACATGAACAGACAGCATCCTGTAGGTACAGGATATCAAAAGAAATAGCAAATCATACAGCACAAATGCACAGTGTACTTAGTACAGAGACCACTCTAATATTGCTTGTTTGATTAATATGTGAAGGTTACTACAGAACTGTCTTGCTTGGCTTGTTTTAATAAGGACAAGTTTTGTGTGGAGAAGATGATTCTGTGTGAGTGATCACCTGATAACTCTGCTACTCAAGTAGTGTCATGCAATTTTCCCATCAAATATGTGATGGTCCATTTAATTTCCAATTTTTAAAGGTGCACCGAGTAATTTACCTGCTAAAAAGCATTAAAAAGATAGATCCCAAATAGTCACACCCATGGACCGCTGGCTAAACGTCTGATGCATACGGCACACAAAAGTGGAAACACTTCAGGAGTTTCGAAGTCGTCATCGGATTGGTTGAATTATATAGGATTTCCGGGAGACGTGCGTGTCGCGTTCTTTTAACATTCCGCCTGGAAACAAAGATGCCGTGCCGCCAAACCCCCTCACGAAAGAAGAAAGCCGTCGTGTTTACAACTGTGACAATAAGCGTTTATTATGATCAACTAAATGCTGGATTTTCAAAAGTATGCAAAATATTTAAAGTTCGTGGCATAGAATCTTTCAAACACGTCCGAGAGCTCTGTTATTGTGGCGACATTTCCACGCCCCGAAACGTGACGCTGAAAGAAACTAACTGTGATCGGGCCAATCAAAGCTGCCATGGATTCCAGACCTTCAGCCATCAGTCTGAAGGTCTGGCTCCGCGAGACTACATCCCAAATGACGGCCAATTCCACAGAAAGTCCTTAAAAAGGCAAGTCAGTTATCTGGACTCCCATCTTGGTAATAGACCTAGACAACTATTTTCTTGGTAGGCATTTAATGCACATGCGCATTATAGAGTAAACTTCTTTTGTTGTATCTACTATACTTAGCATCTATATATTGAGTGTAGCAGGTTTTCAGTTACTAAAAGTGGTCCGTCTCTGCTTCGTATCGTCTCTTAACATAAACAAAGTTACAAAGCAAAGCATTATAAAACAAGAGGTCATGAGTGTTTGAAATACTTTGGGAAAAACTGCAGCTGATTCTTAATAGTTTCATGAATCATGCGAATGAAGTTGTCGTTCCAAGAAAAAAGGAAGGCAAGGAACCGTTTCCCCTGAAAAATAAGCAATAAACAAAATAATATAAAAATGATCTACAGTGGAAAATAATGTCTCAAATGTATGAGCCCACAAACACATATACACAAACCTCTTCTTGTTTAATATGAGAGACCCTGAAGAAACACTGGAGGAGAGGATCAATGACCTGCTGCCCTCTCTCAGATGCAAAGTCTACACTGAGAAGCACCTCTCGTAGAGTACGGAGCCTTCTGAGCTCACTGACCTGGGAACACACCCAGAAAGCATAAACACTTTCATCCACAACATAGAATATTAAATGATCTGCCTGTTTATTATATATAACGGATATAAAGTTGTTCTAGTACCGGTTTCTCAAGTGTAACAGTGTTCTCCAAACAGACAAGGAAAGCAGTCCATCCAAGCTCCTCCTTCCCTTTTAGATCCCGTCTCCACCAGCATTCAAACAGCCAATGAATAGCCTGCTGGAGGGGTGTGTGTGACAGTGGCAAAGCGCATTCTATACCTGGAGTAAAAGACAATGGAGGAAATACATTACAACCCTATTTAAGAAAGAAATGTGGAATTATGAACCTTTTTGAAGTGTACAATGGTGATGCAAAAATGACAATGATGACAGCAAATAAGATCAAACCTGCAACCATTTGGATGTAACCTATTACATGTTTTACAAATAAATTATTATTATTCATCAAGGATGCATTATATTGATCAAAGTGACAGTGAAGACATTTACGAAGAAGTTCACGTTTCCACAAAAATACTATGCAGCAATATTAAGCATGTTTTCAACATGGATAATAATAACTATAAATGTTTCTTGAGCAGCAAATCAGCATATTAAAATAATTTCTGTTTTATCATGCGACACTGAAGACCGGAGTAAAGGCTGCTGAAAAATCTGTTTTGCCAGCACAGGAATAAAAGCCGTTTTAAAATATACGAAAACAAAACAGTTCATTTAAATTGTAATACTATTTCACATTATTGCATTTCTTTCAAGAGTCACATTACAAGTACTTACTGTTTAGCATCTGGGCACATTCGAGAAGAGAAGTATAAATGTCATTTTCCTGCAAAATGTCTACAGAGACTGTAGAAACAATTGTAACGCCCTCTATTACTGCCATTGCCTGTATCTGAAAGGAAACAAGAACAAACTACCTGTCATTTTGACATGTTACCATAAAGATCTTGGTTTTCTGTTTCATTCGAAACATTAGCAGTCTTACCTGTTCCTCAGAAATCTCTACCTCCATGTCGCCTGCGTCCTCGTCGGCTCCAGTGATCCAGCGCTCTGGAGGGTGAGCAGTGAGGCTGTGCTGCAGCAACTTCAGCTGTCTCTCCCACAACTCCTGCCTCTGACTCCTCTGCAGCTCCGGCAAAACCTCAGCCAGGTCAAACGGATCCGCTCCATCCTTCTGCAACACAAACAGCAGTGAACAGTGTGATCTTCTGAATAATATAGACTGGTGTTTTAGCTCTTCCTGTATCCTTGACTTTTACCAGTAGTTGAAGACTGACTTGCATAGACTTTGCTTTCTTTACTCTGAATGTAAACTTGTTATATCTAAGAAACAACAGCATCGTATAGTCAAAATATAAGATCTTGCGTGTCTATTGTTCTTTAGTTGTTTAACAGATAAAACATGTATCCAGCGTAATTTACATTGAGTACATTACATTTAAGCCTTGTGAATAAGCACACTTTTAAAAAGATTACTTATAACGGAAATAATATACTTAAAAAGAATATACTTAATCCCAAACCGAATGTAATGTTTTTGGGCACACAACTACATGTTATTTGCCAGACTCAGACTGCTGTTTTAGCTCTTCCTGTATCCTTGACTTTTACCAGTAGTTGAAGACTGACTTGCATAGACTTTGCTTTCTTTACTCTGAATGTAAACTTGTTATATCTAAGAAACAACAGCATCGTATAGTCAAAATATAAGATCTTGCGTGTCTATTGTTCTCTTTAGTTGTTTAACAGATAAAACATGTATCCAGCGTAATTTACATTGAGTACATTACATTTATGCCTTGTGAATAAGCACACTTTTAAAAAGATTACTTATAACGGAAATAATATTCTTAAAAAGAATATACTTAATCCCAAACCGAATGTAATGTTTTTGGGCACACAACTACATGTTATTTGCAATTCAATGCTATTAGTACACCTTTATATGTGATTTCATAATTACTTCTTTTGTCTTTGATATATGTTTAAAGCGTACTGTCAAATGTACCGACATTTATGGTAAATTTTAATGTAGTTTGAGTCCCTAATGCAACTTTAAATCATGTAGTTAAATATACTTGTAATTACACATTTGTAATGATATTGTTGCTATTTAGCCCATTTTAAATATATTTACTTATGTAATATTGAATAACACACAAACAGTGAAACCATACTCGTAGTGGTTTTTTTATTTTTATTACTACTTTATTTGAAAGTACTGTTTGTTTATGTGCTTTAAAGGTTCCAATCAAACTACACGTGCACATTCAATTCAGTTAGTTTAGTCATAGAAATGTATGGAGTGACACAAACATGACTCACATGCAACCTGATGAAGTTCAGAAAATCCTGGACGTGCTCATGATGGACGGACTCCAGAAACTGCTTTCGTTTCGACATTTCGCTTAGAGTCCTACCAGACAGAAACACAATTACGACGCACTTCGGCAAGTAACTTACCATTGATGTTTTATTTTATATTGTTGTCCGTGCACAGGATGAGATTATGTAACGTATGCAACAGCGTAAGTGTTAATAGTTTCGCACACGCAGAGCAAAGCATTATTTTCTAAACTCTATCCGCACATAATAAATACATATTTTCCGTCAAAGCAAACCTGTCAGGTTGTTTACATCTAACGGTAGAAGAGCAGAGCCTCTGAGAGCTACATTTCCCCGCTCAAGCTTAAAGAAGCGTCATGCCGTTCTTAATGCGACAGCGCCACCTGCTGTAGAGGAGATGGACGGCGCTTGAGTTTGAATGCAGCCGACTTCATCGTTATCTCTACTAAAGGCGTTCTGTAGAACGTTATTTAGATAATGCTTCAAACGCTGAGCATCGGCTTCTACAACTACCAGCTAATGTCCAGCAGATGGAGCCAAAAGCACGCTGTATGTTAAGTCAGCAAAGTCATTTCCAACACTTGTAAACAATGAGAGGCACAGAGGTGAAGAATCGTCTGAGATATGACAGATGATACATTATATTGTAATTACATACTTTTCGGTTATAGAAAAATATTAATACAAAATAAATAAAACAACTTTAATCTGTTCTCCCTCTTTTTGGAATACCAAGCCAAGGAAACTTTAGATTTTACGGTTATTAGAAAATATTGCTCTTTTGTCAGTATCATGACCTGTCAGGTTGTTTACATCTAACGGTAGAAGAGCAGAGCCTCTGAGAGCTACATTTCCCCGCTCAAGCTTAAAGAAGCGTCATGCCGTTCTTAATGCGACAGCGCCACCTGCTGTAGAGGAGATGGACGGCGCTTGAGTTTGAATGCAGCCGACTTCATCGTTATCTCTACTAAAGGCGTTCTGTAGAACGTTGTTTAGATAATGCTTCAAACGCTGAGCATCGGCTTCTACAACTACCAGCTAATGTCCAGCAGATGGAGCCAAAAGCACGCTGTATGTTAAGTCAGCAAAGTCATTTCCAACACTTGTAAACAATGAGAGGCACAGAGGTGAAGAATCGTCTCTGAGATATGACAGATGATACATTATATTGTAATTACATACTTTTCGGTTATAGAAAAATATTAATACAAAATAAATAAAACAACTTTAATCTGTTCTCCCTCTTTTTGGAATACCAAGCCAAGGAAACTTTAGATTTTACGGTTATTAGAAAATATTGCTCTTTTGTCAGTATCATGTTCTATAATGGAGTATTGCTGGACCTAAAAAAACAAATAAGGCCTAAATATTGAGCATTATATTTTATTAGGTTGCTTCAACACCTTCCTTGTTAAAATATACCATGAAAAACAAAAAAGTATGAATAGACAATTAAGATAAAAATGCATTCAGGCTCTTTAACTCTAAAAGGGGTCCAAGTTACAAGTTTAGCATGATTCAAGTTAAATTGCATATTTTAATGATATCATGCATTATGCATAGAGAAGAATAAGGCTGGAAATCATATCAACAGCCATTTCACAGTCTTTAAACAATCCATAAGCAAAACACTTTGTAACCAAGCTATTATAATTTTACAAATGTCACATACTAAATACACATTTTGCTTTTCTTCATAAAACTGTTGCAGACAAAACGGGTATCAAACATTTCTGTACAGGCTTTTCATTTTGTGTTGTGCAACGGGACACAGTAAAATACTTTTAAAATAAATGATCAGTGGATCATCTATGAAGAGCTGAACATAACTTAGAATTTCCATAGCTGTTTGAGATAGAACAAGCATAAAACTAAGAAAGAAAAAAAAATGTTCATACATACATATATACATACAAACGAATACGTGTGGCCTTTGCCTTTGGCCATGTGTTTTGTGTAATATACTGCCTCAAACAAACACCAATGCAACAATAATGTCTGACTTTCCAGCAACATAAAAACATTTTCAGATGTGATTTTGATTGCTTACAAAACATAGTATTAAACCCAGAAATCAAAAAGTTTCAAAATATTATCAAAATAACTTAAATACAATAAATAAAGGCACATGTATTAATAAATCTAATGATCTAAATGATCTTTTTTTTCTGTCATTGTTTCTTAACTTCATAGGTAATTATTTTTATTGGGTAAAAAAGTGATATAATTTATCCAAACACCAATAAGATGAATAAAACAAACATAAGCAGACAAAACAAAAAAGACAATCAGATTGAATCCTTTGAGAAAGAGAGAGTAAGCGGGCCATTGATGCTTAAGGTTGTAATTTTAGCTTCGGTGAGAATGAGAGAGACACTTTATAGGCCAGTGTAAATCCCAGTAGAAGTAGCCTGGTTTAGTTAGTCCAGCGCTGCTCTTCTGCTTCTCAAGTTTCTATCCTGTGCGTGCCGTGACATGTCCCAGTAATCTGCTGTTCCATTCGTTTCTGCTTTCTAGCATGGACCACTACGTCTGAATGATCTTCTTCGATCCATCCTCGGTCAGATGATACCTGAGAGATAAAGGAAGCTTTCGTAATCAGGAAAAAGTACATTTAGAAGAGTGACTGTACAAATGAATGAGAATCACACCATCGAGTCCATCCTTTAGAAACGTCTTCACTTGCCAAGTCCACAACGGCCTGTGACAAAGACATCTGTGAGCCTCCATAAACATCCAGTGATCAACAGAATGAGAAAAAGAAGGGAATGTGAATGCATCAATGTTTTTTTACCTTGCCCAGTAGTACTTTGTGTTTGGACAACAGTCCTCCTCCATTCTTGACAGCGACATCCAAAGTTCTCCTGTGCAGTTCCACTATTGACACACTGAACTCAAAGCTGACAAAAGCAACACAACAAGAGATTGTTACTATAGTTACTGGTTTACTATGCTACATGCATCTGCAGACAACTGGTATCAAGAAACCTTCAGCAATGCAATTAAACAAAAATAACATTTCTCAGAAACATTGGCAGTTGCATCATACAGTATATTATGAAGTCTTGGCTGACTTGGTTTGGAGGTTAAAACAGTTAACTAGCTCTGTTCAGTAAGGAGCTCCGCTGTGGATTTAATATGAAGGAAATGTCATGCAAATGCATACAGCAAGATAAACAGCAGGCAAGATTTTGAATCTGGTGGGTCCTCTTCTCATTTGAATGCAATTTAAATGAGTTAAAGTTATCACTATGTCTGTAACCACATTAGGTTTTACGTGAATACTATTAGGAAAATGTATTAATATTCTAAAACTATTAGCAAAAGTTCTAAAAAACAAAAAACAAACAAAAAATCACTAATCTATCATTACAAACTTTTATTCCTCAGACGGTCAATGAACAGAGTGTAGTTCCTCATTTTTCCTCCTCAACTGCCCTTATAATCACCTTGCTATTTACTACCTTATTGTACATTAAAATGGTACCATGTCAAGCTAAAGAAACATCTTACAATGTTTATTGTCAAGATGAATTTAATTTGAAATTGAATTGAAATTCAAAACTGGCACTTTTCTGTTGAAAAGAATGCAGATAGACAGTATGATAACACTGCTACTCAGAGCTGAATGTGACGCATAGATTGTGAAAAAGAAGTGTGCTTAATTGTACTGAATGTGCAGTGAACTTGTAGTGTAATTTAAAAAATGTTTTAATTAAATGTTTTGATAATGTTTTAATAAACATTAAAGTGTGATTTTAAAATAAATACACTTAATTTGTGTATTGTTGCCTAACATACTAAAGCACATGTAATTGATTTTTGATAACTGTAGTGGGTAATTCAATATTACGATATCAAGTAAATATATTTTTAATTTACTGAACTGCAACTTCATGATTACAAATATATGTAAATATATTGCATATGTTTCATAAGTTTCTATAGAAATTACATCAGTAGTTTACTATAAATGCTTGTCTGTATTTATCAGTACACTTCAACCATTCAAAGACAATAGAAGTAATTATAAAATTACATATAAAGATGTACTTCAGTATTGGTTAAAGTGGGTCAAAGTTCAGCTAAATGTATTTAATATAAATGTAAACTATTTAACACATTTTCATTTAATTGCAATTAACATGCAATTACGTGTTAGAAAACATAACATTCCGTTTGCACTTGAGTCCATTCTTTCTGTAATAAGTAATCTTTTTAAAAGTTTGCTAAAGTGTACTTCTTTTTTATAAAGTCTTTTGCACCATTTATTATAATGAACATAATTGCCGATTTTAAAATGGTCTTTGAGTTTAGTGTGATTCTTACGACTGGTCATAGATAGGATTGAGTGTCTTCTTGAGTGTGCTGGTTTTTCTGCGGCCACTGCGACTCTTGTCTGGTAACAGGTACAGGCGGATGAATGGGTCTAAGCCATCTTTAGTCAGTGCTATGAGGTTTCTGCGATTAAGACACATGGAAACACATATTCACACAAAAGCATGAGAGGTATTTTCACAAGGACCTGTTGCGTCACATTTATACAAATGCAAACACATGTCCCCCTTTATTTGCACACTGTTGTTAATGTTCAAGAGTGTTAACCACTGATCATTTACCAAAAAATCACTAATATATTGGATTTGTTCAGTGTAAAAGTCAAAATTAGGCAAAGATTTGCAAACAAAATGATTGGAAGTGGTACTATAAAACACAGCAAGATGAAGGTTAATGTGTCTGTGGCATTCTCACCTGCAGGCATGAACCACTACAATAAGTTTATTCCTTTGTGAGCTGTGTCGGATAGTGAGCTGGACTTCACCGAGCGGATACTGGCTCAGCCCAGAGCCGCTGTAACAGAGAAACAGCAAGTTTATCTGACAGTGTGTGAGGCTGAGTTTGGATATCGTTTTGCTTTCAACAAGTCAACATGAATTCAAAATATATTTACAACATTTACTTTCTTAACGCATGTTCCTGATTGCATTCTGCATGATTTCCTTGATCCACATCATTGCAATTTAAATTGACTTCAAATATAAAGCACTTTTGAGTTTTTCAACCTCTCCTCCAACCACCCTGGATATCTTCTGATATGTAACATCTACTTTTTACAATCCAATCATTCCAGAAGTCTCTTATGCTAATCAAGGATGCATTTATTTGATGAAAAATACAGCAAAAACAATAATATTGTGAAATATGATTACTATTTAAAATAAGAGTTTTCTGTTTGAATATATTTTAAAATGTAATTTATTTCTGTGATGGCAAAGCTGAATTTTCAGCAGGCATTACTCTAGTTTTCAGTGTCACATGATCCTTCAGAATCAGGATTCTTTGATAAATAGAAGGAACAGTACTTATTTGAAATACAAGTATTTTGTAACATTACAAAATGTTTTTGTATCTTTACTATCACTTTTGATCAATATAATGCATCCTTGCTGAATAAAAAAGTATTAATTTCTTTCACAAAAAAAACCCCATCATTGGCCCCAAACCTTTGCATGGTAGTCTGTAATATTTAGCATGAATATGCAATATTTCTGCCAAAACATTCCAGTTTGTGTAAATTCATGGCAATTTTTGGTAAGGGCGGTGATGTTTGGATTGAAAATCCTCTCCAGTCTCCAGTTTTCTTCAGTGTGGTATAGGTGTGTTGGGGCTGTTTAATACAGTTTCAACTATCTGAGCAACATGGATGCCATAATGGTTTGTAACAGGGAGTCAGCGACAAATACAAATGAGTTGTGTAACCCTTCCCCACTGCTTCGCTGTTCAAATTGGTCTGGTCAATCTGCTCATTGCTATCCAGTCAGTTGTGCTGTGTTTTTCATTGGGCCGTGCAGATAAATGTTTCACACTGCACTGGATATAGCTAGTGTCTCACTTTTGGCTGTGTTTTGGCTTTTAGTGTTTCTCATAAAACAGTAGAAAGAACTCACCAGTGTGGCTTCTAACAAAATGAATTTGCATCAACAGGAAAAAAGCAAAACACAAATGACTTCTGCATCCAGGGAATCAGCGTGTCTTGGACACAGACTCACTTCTGTAGCTGCTGTAACCTCTGCTGCAGTTCCAGTGTGGCAGAGGGCAGCGAAATGTATTTAATGTGTCAATGTGGAATCAAAGTATTACATTATTTTTTTTAAATCCCAAACTTTTGAACCCTATAGTGTAAACTACAGTAGACTTACGTAATTAACATTATCTTAGTAATTATTGATTACTTTAATATTCATGCTTTTAGGGTGTTCCCATACCTCAATTTCCAGTTCCTGAGTGTGGGGATTGTTGATAAGGAAGGGAAAAGCCTCTTCCCACAGCGGCTCACTAGTTTTATATCTTACCTGAAAATCAGGAGCAAAACAGGACTGGATATAAGTGATTTGCTAGTCTTGAACAGGTTAAAGCTGATTAATGAATGCTACCTTGCTTGTGTACATCTTTTGTCCTACAGTCAGTTTGACAAAAGGATTTGGGTCTATGCTCACTTTCTTTCCAGACTGTTGAACAAAAATGGAAAGAAAACATATGATAAATGATATATGACCAAATATGACAGTCTCCTTTAATAGTTAAAAAATCTACTTCAGCTCTCTGGTAACATGAGCTGATTGTACTAGTTTGGTTAATCATAATTACATCATAGCTCAGTTAGCCTTTTTTTAAGGTTATGTTCCTTACTAGTGCTTTGTGATGAGAAGTTTATTTTAAACTCATCTATGAAAATGCAAATAACGCAGCAACCTAAATACAAAAAGCCTCGTTTTATTTTCTCAATTCAATAAAGACATGAAATTAAGTAAAAATAACAGTAGAACAGTAGTTTATTAAACAGAAGAGTACTTCAATAACATCTGCTAAGTCTTTAAACACATGCAGTGGTTAATGAGGGAAGAATACATTGGATAAGCAATTGAGAAATAAACCCAAATCACAAAAGAATGAAACAAATCATAAAAGACGTAAAATCATGCTTAGGGTCCAGACGCGAGTGTAATGCTTATGTTATGTCACTGTATAAACTGCATGCATTCTCAATGTACCTTCAGGCCTTTATAAGGGGGTTTGGGGCCATCAGGGTTAAAGTCAAGAGGATTGGTCTTTCCACAGGAAGGATTGAGAGAAATTGAGAATAGGAAAGTTAATATACAGCAAGAGGACATGCAAGAATGATAGTTCGACTGGTCCAGCCTAGGCATGGGCCGATTACCGGTTTCAAGGTATACCGCGATTTGAAATGTTCACGGTTTCAAAACCGCTATATTCCGTTATACCGTTCCTGCGGTATGCGCTGTTTTTCATGTCTCCTCAAAGACTGAAAGTGTAGGAATCCCTCAGGTTGAGAGCAGTGTAGAGAGTAACACGACTCTCCTCGTCCTGTTGGTGCGAGTGAGCGGTCAGTCTCGTGTGTGTAGGATGGCCGAACTTAAGGAGCTTCCCCTGGAACTTACGCGATCGGCAACCGGCCGTTTTTTGTCTTATTGCAAGCAACTCGTCTCTGTTCTGGACTTGTACAAACTGCGTTGCAATGCAATCGTTTTCCAAAATGTCATTTATGTGAAAATATGAAGTCTGTAAACGCCCGTTAACACAGGCCAGAGACGCTGAAGACAGACGCACAGAGAAAAATACTGTAGCAGGC